TTCTTTTCAATAATATATTTATGAAACATATATAAAATGTTTGAATTTAGCGTGTCGAAGTAATCACAGTTTGTATGAAAAAAACACAGCCAGCTATTTTCTCTTTAACCTCAAATCACAGCTAACTATTACGTGGAAATGAATTTGGATTGGTTTACATGGACCTATAAATTTTGCAGTTTTAACCAAGAAAGTTTTTCCCGGTGGAATTACAAACGCAACTGCATTTTTATTTGCCGTACATGCTGCTGTCCATGCTTTTATAAATGCCTACAGGAAAATAAAATAAACAATTATGTCTATGCACGTACGTATAGGTAGAGACATGTTGTGTTTGTGTTACCTGCGAATCATCTGTTTTCTTATCTCCTACGGCTCCGTATTTGGTAACATCAAATGTGTTTGGGTCGTAATTACTTGTGCAATAACGATGTGATCCTTAAAAATTTCTGCATTATTTCAAAAATAATAGCTAATTTTTAATAAATATTACCTCATGTTTAAGATTTAGGGCATCTTTGTCATATATGATATAAAATATTGACATGATCAGACGGTCAGTCTAATAAAAATAAAAAACAAGAACCAAAAATCATATAGCCAAAGTAGAGATGAATTTATTTTTTTCTAACTAGACTTACCATAGTATTTGCAATAAAAAGAGAAAGACTATATGAAGTTAGGATTTTCTTTTTTTCTAACTAGGCTAGTGTAAGTTGTACGCCATGATCTTATAGAGCATGTCGGAATTGATATAAAAGAGGTCAAGTTGATTATCTGTTCATGATCAACGAATTTCAGTTAAAAACTATATAGCATATATACTGAATCTTTCAATATATTTATATAAAAGGGAAACCTTTTTTTAAACAAACACTCATTTACGAATTACATGTTGACTGATGAGTGAATTTTCGGAAATGATTATAAGATATAGATTTTCTAAAATGATCAAATCAACAGGTATATATACTAGACTCTTAGTATTAATTAGTTTAACTTTAAACTATATAGTCCCCCATTTATTAATTACGATTAGATTTGTAGATTTAGTATCGTAGAAGGGATAATTTGTTTTATATACAACAAAAAAATTATAACTTAAAAAATAACAAAAAATTTTAAATCCAATGGTCATGATTTTACCATATATCCCAATTTTATTTACTTTTTATTTTATTTTTTGTTATATAGCAAAATCACCCTATCGTAGAATGGAGGCTAACTGTTGTTAACAAATTCTTTAGGAAAACTTATAGATTCTTGGCTTTTTGGTTAGAAGTTAAAACCCTTGAATCAAAAGGCAAACCACTGCCATATGTAGAACCTTAGTATCTTTTTTTTTTAACAAATGGCAAATGTAAATTAAGAGGCCTGAAAAAAGCCAGCACATGCCCTGGCCTTGAGTATAAATTTTATTATGCGATGGTTAATTAAGCACATAATTTAGTGATGATTGACGACATGTTAGTTTTGCCGATTCTCTTCATCGACTTCTTATTTTTGTCAATATTACTTTTAACTTAACCTCTTCTTTTACAAAAGCGGGACCTCGTCGCACTTCTTGGGATAGACACTAGAGTTTTTTTTGTGTGTTCATAAAACAATTAAGAAGAGGTTTAACAAATGTTTTCGAAGAGAAACTTTTACATCTCGACAAAGTGCACACAATTTCAGATATTAATTATGATTAAAATGTTAATGATAAAAAGGTTTGGAAATTGTTGTCAAAGCACATGTACCATGAAAATTTCGTATTAAATCGGAAAGTAGAAAATTTGTTGGATGTATCCCTTCCACTAGTACATATACTGTTAGTTGAGATTTAAATTAATAGCCTAATATCGAAGGAAATTCTAAAAGAAATGTTAAAGATTGTCAAGACATCAACTAAGCAAATGGATAAAAATTGAGATTATTATTCCTGATTAAATTAGCACATATCCACCACCATTAATATAAGGAGATGTACATATTGGCATCTGTAAAAATCATCAATCGAAGATTTTTCTCCTCAAAATTTACTAGTTTTGTTCTATTATTTTTCCTATAGCATATCAAAAAAATTAACTTGTTTTCTCATTTTTATCTTAATCACACAAAAGAAGAATTTGATATTTTTTTCAAAACATTTTTTTTTTTGTTATTCTAGTTTAGACTCAGAACATGCGTAAAACAGGGCCAAACTTCTAATGTGCGTGAACTCTAACTTCGTCAATTCGGAGTGGAAGAAAGAAACCAAAAAACTTTTTTTTTTGTTTTATAATCTACATATATGGCTCATCTAAAACAATAATTTTAATACAAACCGCGTGTAACAAATTAATCGTAGGGAATATTTGGAAGACCTAAATAACCAATCCGTGTGCCTAAGCCAAAAAGAAAAACAGTATCAGTTTATCAACCCATTAATTTATTAATTATATGATAGACTCATCGCCATTGTCGGCAGAGGGGATGGGCCCATCGTCTATGTGACTATGTCCAATGAATAATTCGTAGAAACATTATGACTAATTCACAAAACATTATGCCTTTCGAAAGAAAACTCATAATTACACTAAACTATTCTTTTTGTGAAGACAGTAATTGCCATCTATCTCTTTATAATTACACTAAACTATTCTTTTTGTGAAGACAGTAATTGCCATCTATCTCTTTCTGCAAACGAATATATTATTACTTATAACGAACGGATTTAAATTATACACTAGAAAGAAGCTTCTTTCTACATGTAATTACCTTTTCTTAAGACATTTTTCTTCAACGATAAATTGATAGATTATTATTTATAAAAAAAAAAGATAAATTGATATATTATTTTACAAAAAAATGTGAAATGGTTAAAAACTTAAAATGAAAATTTATATTTTGTAAGATAACTAACTAAGTGGTGGTGGTTTAGTGGTAAAAAAACTTAGAGAAATAAAATAAACTATTCCAATTTGAGTTTGACTTTTTTTTGGAACATTGTTATTTTCATTTGACCAGTTGAAATGATGGCATGCTTTAAACCAATTCAAAAATTTGGTAAATGAAATATTCGACGGTTACATTCATCC